GAATTGTTAGCATTAGTAGCACTGCTGCCGGGTGCCGAAAAAACAAATAACTGTTGAAATACTCCAGAATTATCTTATTTTACAGAACAAATTAACCTAATCTTTGCCAAAATGTTGTATCCTGACTGTGACACATGGTTTGTTACACAGAAACATTTGGGAGGTCGTTGTTGGAAACAGTTTGGAAAGTCTCAGCGGGTGAGTGGATGAACAATCTGTCCATCAACGAACTGTATAACATAGTCAAACTCTTACTGAAGCCAGTTGAGAGAAGATCGAAAACATCTTTCCCCCATAGTTGCCAGTACTTCCTCAAAGGACACATAGATTCATACATTCTTGTGTGATTTTGTGATCCAGCTACCTTGCAAAGTTAAAAAGTTTGTGCCTTGGCTCACAATACACTCATTGATTCACCCGATTGATTCAAATACAGGACACAATGAAAGCAGAACCTGAGGCCCAGAAAATGTTTTCTGTCAATGTCATAGCATTGTATACTGCATGCTGGCTCAGTCATAACATTATTCTCCATTGCATGGCTGTCATTATCCATATCTCCTTCAGGACTTCCTGTTTTCACAAACCTATCCCGCTCACGCAGGTGTATGGTGTTTGGCTGATTAGACTCCTGACTGCAGCCAACTTTTCTGCTAATCGATAAAGCTGCTGCTCGGTTTCCATCCAAATGTGGTGTAAATTTTAGCAGTGATTGACAAAAGAAAATACCAACTCATGTGGGTGTCCATCCACTACTGTTAGAAAAATATTAGGAGTTGGTTCTTAAAATAAACAGCTGGTGGCGCTATCGCTCCAGTCAGGGGCCATTAAACCATTTCAAGAGAAGATGGTGCAACAAGATGAACCTTTCTAACCTCAGGTGGAGGAAAACAATGAAGAAAGCTTTATGGAAATATGGAATATTCTGTAAAAGTCTCCTCGCTCTACACAGATCTGATATTTCTGTCTGCTGCATTCTTATGAAATATGTTCAACACATGTACTGCATTGAGTGAGGGGAATTAGCTTTTTCTCTACAATCAAAAAGGTATTTTTAATTACCACTTACTTAATAACTGGTTAGCATAAACCCAAGTTTTTAAGTTGATTAGGCTACTTAACTTGTTCCAACTAGTTTTCTCCAGGTTATTTATGTGAACACAACTCATCAAAATAATGTTTGCAACTTAAATCTAAAAATCAATTTGAAGTTGTATCTTGCAACCATACATTAATTGAAGTGGTGACAATTAGGTCAGCTGAATTACTTTTTAGAGTGTTTTTTGTCTCTCCAGCGGATGTTTAAGTCACATGCTTAATGTATGCCATGATTTATTTGATACGCCTGTTTAATTGCCAAATTGAAATTGCCCATAAAAACAGGATGAAAACGCACCTAATAATAAGCCAGTGATATTTATTATTTAATATTTGTATGCCTTTATTCACTACAGGGAGCTGAAGCAGAGACAGGAAAGAGAGGAGAGAGAAGGGATGACATGTAACGAAGGAGTGGAATTGAACCCGAGCCACCGCTGTAAAGACTCAGCTTTAGTACGCTATGTGGCACACGCTCTACCAGGTTTGGTACATGATTTTGAATGAGCTTTTTCTAGTTTATGGGGAATAAACCAGCAGTTCTATTAGCACAAAGATCTAATAGAAAAAAAAACATCAAAAAAAGGGAAAACAAATTAGCAGATTATTGTTTCAAAGCAATATACCCTAGCGTCTGCAGCTAAGTTACTATAAACCTCTGAGACGCTGATGATGTACTGCTCTCCATTCTCGCAGCAAAGACCCTGACGGCTGAAAGCTCATGTTCTGCTGCAGCTTAACGAGATAAAGCGGAAATAACCCATCGCTGCACTCATGAGCTGGGCTGAGAGGAGGACGAGGAGGGAAAGACAAAGGAGGAGAGGAGAAAGAAACAAGTGAGGGAGACAGGGAATGGAAGACATAAAAAGGGAATTTGTGTAAGAGATAGATGCAAGCGTTGGACGGAAGGAGGAAGGATAGAAAAAGTCAGACAACATAGGAGTTGAACTGCAGGGAGAATGAAAGAGGTAGAGAGACAGAAAGAGAGAGATAAGAAGAGGATCAGAGTGAGAAAGCCCAGCAGCGATTTGGGTCTGTATATATGTTTCGCTCTCTAACTCCACATGTCAAATGGGTTGGACCTGCTCTTCTCTCCCAGGGCCTTGAGTTTGCCTTTCTTTCCGCCCCTCAATTTCCAGCCAAGCAGAGTGTGTTTTTCCACTTCGCATTAGGGGATGATTCACTGGGTCTGCTGCGGTTTACCCTCAGCAGGATTAGAGCTGGAAGGCTTCTTATTATCTTCTACCGTTTGAGCTCCTTCGTCTGTTAGAAAGAGCAGTGGAGCTTAAGACAAATTACCCCCTCAGTGCCTTTCGGATGGCACAGCTTCGGCCTGGAAATAGCCCTGGGAGAGGCTGGCAACGGGGCAAACAGGGCGGAAGAGGAGAAAGAGGTTTGTGATGGAGGCGTCTGTGCGAGTGTGAGGGGTTGGAGGGGTTGTTAGGGTTTAATTTATGCAGCGGGATGGGGCAAAGTGTAGGAAAGGGCACTGAGTAGGAAAAAAAAAACTGGAGGAACTCTCTATGCTGACAAATGCTCTTGACAAGAGATTTATGGTGAGGAGTGATGAGGATAAGGTCACCGTGAGCGCAGATCCTTCTTGTTTTTGAGGAGGAGTCGACTGACGGAGCGCATGAAAAGTTTGGTAACCTAGAGAATAACATTCACAGAATAATAAAACTCTAAGACCGTCTTGCAAAAATAAGGTTCTTTCCCACAAAGACTCTTTAGTGGATCAACAGCAAAACAAACGTGATGATTTGTCTTTATCTTTGCAGCTTATTTCTTCATGAACTGAAATCATTGAAGTTTTTAAAGGAAAAAAAAGAAGATATTGGGCTCTGAGAAACTGTTATGGACTTTTTTATATCTATTTTCTGGCAATATTTAGTCAGGTCAAGGTTGGACAAAAGAAAGGAGATGACACACACGTTCTCAACAAAAACTGAGAAGGAGGAAATCACAGGGAAAGTGTGGAGACGTCTTATGCAGTATTCAGGCCAGGTAAGCTGAATCTCCTTGATGAACCAACTCATCCAGGCTCCTGCATGGAGAGGCTGAGGAGTCCTTTCCAAATGACAATTAAAAAGGAATAGTTTCAGAAAATATTCTTATTTGCTTTCTTTCTTAGAAGCGTGATCTTGGTCCCCGAGTGTCCACTGCTCATAGGATGGCTCATATGTAGAGGACACATTTGGCTTCCGTGTATAAATGCTGAAAATGACAATGAAGGCTAAAAGCTGAAAGGCGGCAGCCCAGTTCTATTGAATCTGTATGTTGAAGTCTTGCTTATTAAAGCAAGCTTAGCTTTTAGTAGCTACTGTTAGCACTACAACAAGTGATATTGTGAACCATTAAAGTTCTGGAAACATAGCAAATTACATTACATTTACATTTATGGTCTTGAATCATCTTGCAAATACTGAATATAGTAGAATTTAAAGCTCTATAAAGCCATTTTTGTCCACAAGAGAGCTGTTACAGCTGTTTATTTGATAATCATGAGCCAGCCAGAATAATAAAAATAAAAGAGAAGCCTCCCAGACCGGACCAGATGGGGCTGTAGGATCTGGGCTTTCCCCCGCTACAATAAACCAACCTTAAATGCACTAAACCGAACAAATGGAAATAAAGCAACAAAAAGAGGACGAAGAGACAAAACAAACTGTCAACGACAACGATTGCTGCTCAGAGCTGAGTAAGCCACCCTTCCTGCTCCTTCTTTATTAGTTCTCCCTCTAAATGAGCAGATCAGCTACACCTGAGGCTGAAAACAGGAAAACGTGAGGTAACGTCTTATGCACCTCATGACCAGCGGGGGAGGAAGCGTGTAACAAGGGCAGAAAGACAACAGAAACTTTCCAACAGAGCCAATCTCCACACTCGAGGAAATGAGACCATCCTGTAGTGCAATAATAATGATGAGTGATGCGATAAGGTGAGAGGTTAAAAAGTGTCATACTGATGAGGACACTGCGATATGATGCAAGATGGAGAAACATAAAGATCTGTGAAGCCTTCGTGGACCGCTGAATGTTAAAACAAAGAGAGACAAATTAGAGGAAAGTCCCCGCTGTGTAATTGATGTGTTCTGCTCAGCATGCGGAGGATATGAATGCATTTATATGAGAATTTAAATCCTGGGAATATTATAGGCTCATCTTCTGTGCAATTTCACCGCTGAATGCCACCCAGCAGGTGTTTTCAGAGTTATTTCTTTGTTATTTGTTTTGACAATGGAAATGGAAATTCATACCAGTGGAAAATATTGTACCTGGGTAGATTATCACTTTGATTCTCTTTTCTTTTTTCTGTCCACTTCTTAATTTTCTTTACCGTTTCTTTTCTTCTTCCCTTTGACTTTCCCATCCTTCACTGGAATCACTTTGATTGACGTCGGCAATTAAGTACAGACTCTTGTTTATAAGTAATTAATTCCCATTGGCAAACGTTCCCTTCACCCATGTAAATGTTACAGTGAAAGCAATCAGATGGAACGATTTAGTGCTGCCGAGGCTCAGGTACAGCAGGCAGTGTGGGGGATGAGGTTTTTAATCAATGCTAAGCATTATCGCTCCAAAACAAAATAAGTCGAGTAAATTAAGTACTTTGAGGGAAACTGTAATGAAAAGTGAATCAACTGCAATAACACTTTGGAGGACAATTCAGCATATGATTGCAAATTTAAATAGCTACTTTATCTTTTGAAGGACTTCTATTTTTGTCACGCTTCAGGGCGCATTGCATAATGCTCCTCGCCGCCAAAAAAAAAGCAGTTTATTATTCCAAGCCACTGAAATTTTTTGCCAGCAAAATGTACAATAGGGTTTAAGGACAAGAAGAGAAGCAACATTATTTTTTCGTTTTTATTACCAAGAATACAAAAAATATCTACATTCACATACCACTTAATGTAGCATGACTGACCACATAGATTTCAAGTAAACTTCACCCAATCAAATTATCAAAATGTACCTTCACTTCCCGCGCAGTTTGTAAAATCCTTTTTAGTCTTTTGGTGTTTTGATGTTTTTTCTTTTTACCTTTTCATCCAAAACGTCTTTTTTTGTCCTTTTTACATTTGGCACTTGATGCAGATTATCAATGTCTCTGAAGTCCACAGGATTGGAGGGTTAAGCCACGTGTGTGTGGTGGCAGAAAAGAAACGCAGTATCTCTAACAGGACAGATCAAGCCTCATTGCCGTCGGACTCTGGTTGGCACGGTGGTGGATCCGAAATGAAAGGCGATTCGGTTGTGTGCTCATCCAAGTACGAGCTACAACTTTAAGTAACATTTGACCGTCCTGCAGGGATATATCCAGTTCCATCAAAAGATCTTCAAAAATGGCTTCCCTTAAATCCTTATGAATGCATAACTGCTTTATGTTTTTGGGAAAAAGTTACAATACAAATAGCTCAAAAATGATACAAAAACAATAATACAATAAACATATCAACCTGGAAAACCCACACGGGATTACACATAGCCATCTCCTGTGCATGTCATGTGACATTTAGAGATGCGTGGAAAAACTTTTTATCACACAGACTGGAAACAAGGGCAGTTACATCATGTATGTTACAACATATATGTGATCTTTTAAAGATTTCCTCACATAGCGGCAGTTTAAGTACAGTGTTGGTTTGTACCCAAATAAGTTATCAAAAAATATAAATACAGCACATGGAACAAAGAAATAAATTAAGACCTGCCACAGATGAAACAGAAAAGAACACATCCCCGATTGCAGCAATGACTTTTCGCTTTCATTTTACCCCCTCAGTGTTGTTGGGTCGTATAAAAGCACAAACTCAGAACGGTGGATCAGCATTTCAGAGTTTGTCTCCTGTGCCGCTGTTAGTAAGGTAGTCCCCTCTCTCTCGTTTTCATCTCTCGCATAAATCGCTCAACACTTTGAACCAAAGGGGCTCTGCCTGTGGCTGGGTCAGGCGGGGGAGTTAACATGTGCTTTGAAGCCGTTCCTTTGCAGGCCTTGCGCGGCTGCCAATCCAAGCCCGTCTCTGAAGCCCGTCTCTGGGGGAGATTTAAAACCAGCTCACACTGCTGCTGCTGCGAGCATCTCAGGCCTTCAAGGCTGTGGAGAATCGAGGCTTCGGCAGGAATTCAAGTGCTAACAGTCATGGATGTGAACATGAGCACATCCAGGCTTTATTGTGTATTTCCTCGCACATTTTTAGTCTTTTTGTGTCACTTCTCTGATGTTTTTGTCTCTCTTTATCTTTTTGTCGGCGTAACTCATCTCAGATTAAAAAGGCAATGGTTCTGGTGTTCTACCACATTGGAGGACTGTTTGTCTCCAGCACGCCGTACATCTCGGCGAGTTTTTTAAAGCGAGGTCCCCAGTCGTTCAGATAGTCGTACTCGTGGTCCGTATTGGACGTACCCGACTGGAGCGAGCTGAGCGACTCAGCGACTGAGCCTTCCCCCTCATAGGCGTAGGTCTGCAGGGAGTCGTAAGGTGGGGCGCACGGGTCTACGTCAGCCTCCAGGAGCTTCGCCAGCACATATCCATGAACGTTACTGTCCCCACTGCCGCCGCCCATGACACACGCCTGAGGGACGTAACGTGACAGGCTCTCGATCTCCGGCAGCATATCCTGTCTCATCTTGCCCAGGTGGTGGTGCGCCTCACGTGGGTTCCACATGGCGGCGATGTCGAAGGCTTCGGTGTCTTCCTCACCGCCACCTTCGTCGTCGTAGCGGACGATGTTCTCGTGGACGTTCTCCTCCTCGTCGCACAGGTAGGGCTTCTTGCGGTGGGTGCGCAGGGAAAGCATGAGCAGAATCATCACTGGTCAAAGGAAGAGATAAGAAACAGTCAGAAGAGGCAGGAGAACTTTATGGATGTCAAGCTACAGTTGGTTCTTTTGATGAGATTTGCAGAATTTTTGCAAAGAAGATACAGATACATGATGTTTCTTTTTTCTAATAGTTTAATTTATCAAGCAAAAATAAACATTTTCTCTGTTTCATATAACAGCAAATTAAATATGGGGTTTGGACTGTTGGACCAGCAATAAATCACTTTCATAAGCATTTATCACAATTTTTATAGATTAAACAGCTTATTAACTAAAAACTAAAGTACAGTTTGCTGTGTCCCTAGTGTGAACAACAATAAAAGACAGAAGTTTTGTGTCAAAATCTGTGGATGCAATAGAGTCTAGAAATCATTTTCCTGGTCAGACCACATTTCAAACTTTTGTAGTAGAATGTAAGCACCGACCTAGGGCAAGCCTCGGGGCAGCAGTAGGCCTTGATTAAAATCACTGCAGCACTTTATTTACACCCTGACCTTTCGGCGAAAGCGAGTGTGCTGCTTTTATTCGTGATTTCTCCTCCAGTGTAAAATAATCAACCTTGAAGCAGAATATAAACATAAAATGTGCTGCTTAGGCCAAACTAATGAATATGAATGTTATCAAGATTAAAACATTTTATCACCTCAGAAGGGACTTTCTGCTGCACACACTTGTTTACCACATTAGAACAAGATGGAAGTATCACTTTTGTTTGTGTTGAAGCAGAAATCAGTAAAATTGATAAACTGCTTTGCTCAACATTTAAGAGTAGAAACTCTTAAAGGCGAAAGCACAGGAGCATTATCATATCATCGGCGTAGGATTAAATAAGGGTTTCTTTTTGCATCCTGGCAAAATGTTCATTACCAACTGCCCTATAGCATCACACTTTCTTTCCCCCTAGAGGCTGATATGGACCCACTTTATCTCTCCCTGCAGACCTGTAAATGTGAGCAGGAGGGCTCAGCTGGTTGACTCACTCTGCTCCACCGACAGGCAGCAATACATTTTGTTTAAAACATCTTCGCTTGCTTTGAGTATGAGCTCATTGTTTTGAATAGACATAATGATTCTGATTTCAAAGGAGGGATTTTGTTACAAAAAGCTATTTATCCATTGAAGCTGAAGGGATATTCAGTGATATTTGTCAGCGGCGGACTCAGGCTGTCTGAGGGGCAGGGGTGGGAAAAATGAAAAGGGCACCAGTGAGCAGAAAGTTGTGATGCATTAATGATGACCCTTAGTCAAGGTTAGGATTCGCACCCAAGAGAACTTTAAGTGATAACGCAGTTAAAGGTCAATAATCTGCCAAAAATATGACACTTTCATATTAGAAGATATTCTTATTATTAATATCAGTTAAATGTTAGTAATAAGTAAGTACCCAGTGGATTAGTGTTTTACTAATATATATTTATGGATTAATATTACTGCTGCATTAATGTGAATGTTGCATTTTACTGCTGTAGATGTTAAAGGTTGAGCTCAATTGAACAATTGTATACACTTTATATACTAAAGCAATGCAAGATCATCATATGTTTGTAGTGTGACTGCCCTTTGAGAACGTATCTCTAAAAAGTTCGATGAGCTCAGAAAAACTGCCCTGTTTTCAGCTTTGTGACGATGTATTTTCCAGCTAATCCAAGAGGGTTTTTAAATAGTTTATTTATCTGAAGAAGTAGGAGAACTTCCTTAACCGATAAAGGAACATCTTTCAGTTTATCAGAAACTTTTAAAATAACCAAATTTGGAAATACATGGTTTTCACTGGACATAAAGGGGATGAAAAATTGTAATCTGAAAAGTAACGCTGTCATATAAAGTTACATTGTAGTGACATTGTTTCAGATTAAATATTCGATGACCAAAGGCCTCTTGCTCTCTGCACATCCTCACAGCGGCAGGTCATAACTTACCCAGCAGCACAAAGATGCAGGCTAGGATGGCGATGAGAGCTCCTCTGCTCAGGCTTGCGGGCAGGCTGTACGCCTCGGCGTTGCACGACATGACGTTGCCCTCCTGGTCGCAGCTGCACACACGGATGGTCAGCGTGCTGGTGCTGGTCTGGACCGGCTGCTCGCCATCAGAGATGAAGATGGGCAAGTAGAAGACGGTCTGGTCCTGCTGTGACCAGCCTCCGCGACGCGTCAGGATCCACGCTGTGTTGTCTGAAAAGAGACAAAGAGGTCAGGGAAAGGTTGAGTGGGTGCACAGAGACACAGGGACAAGACTTTTGAGCTTATTCAGTAACTGTTGACTTTTATAGATAATTGTTTATTATTTTATTCATTATATATTTTCTTTGAATGTTTTCTTCCTACACGATGGTCTAAATGCTCTTTGAAAGCCAGGATATCATTATATTTCTCTGGTGGAAAAATAATAAAACCTTCATAGCATGTTAATTAACTAGACAAAGAGTTAATGAAATGATCAAAATCGACCTTAAAGTAAGCTGTATGTAATTACAATGAACAACATCCAGGACATAAATAGACCTTTTTCTGTTGTAGACAATAACTGAGGTCCATTCCCATACCGGGAGTTGAACCCGGGCCACCTGGGTGAAAACCAGGAATCCTAACCACTAGACCATATGGGATATCTATTATGTGACCCATCAATCAACTGTCAGTCAAGAGAGTTAAAATGATGATTAACAGCGCTACTTAGAACACTTTTGCATCCATTTCATTGTACACGTCTAGTTTAAACCGTGCTATGGAAGTACAAGAGGGGAAGGAAAGTTGACTGATTATTAAAGACTTCCCATACCGGGAGTTGAACCCGGGCCGCCTGGGTGAAAACCAGGAATCCTGACCGCTAGACCATATGGGACCCTTCCACATTTTAAAATGGTTACATCAAATCGTCAAATAGTTAAAGCAGTTTAAGCTTTACAAAGACACAAGAGCTGACGTGAGGAAGGTGCAATTACAGTACAGTACTTACATAGAGGTCCGATTGCTATAATGTGCTGTATGTACAGGGTTGTGGTCTACTTTATACAATGCCAGATATGAGGAACATTACTTGAGTTAGTTCACTGACAGAGTTGAAGACTGTTCCCATACGAAAGCAGTTTAAGCTTTGAAAGATCACTCGGACAAAGACGCGAGAGTTGAAGAAGACGCGATTACAGTACAGTACTTACATAGAGGTCGGATTGCTACAATTTACTGTATGTAAAGGGTTGTGGTCCACTTTTTACGACACCATCAAAGTACAAGACATGTAGTATGTTGAATATTACTTGAGGTAGTTTACCGATAGAGTTGAAAACTGTTCCCATACCGGGAGTTGAACCCGGGCCACCTGGGTGAAAACCAGGAATCCTAACCGCTAGACCATATGGGACTAGATGATCAGACTAGATGGGACTAGATGGTTTTAATGGCACAAAAAAGGAAAGAGGGTGCTGATCTTCCCATTGAAAAGAATTAAACGACTAAACCTGACTTTTTACTCGCACTAACACATAATCATGAAAGATAAAAGTGAAGATTAAAGGTGCTTCACCCATACAGCCAAATTCTTACTATACAGTGTACATAAAAGGTTGTGGAGAGTCAATGAAAGTTCTGTTCCCATGCCTGGAGTTGAACCTGGGATTCAAAGGAAACTGTGAAACCTGGTGATCTTTTGATGATACAAAGCGGTGCCATAATCATACAAGATGGATTTTCTGTCCACCTTTAACATAAGATAAGATAGACCTTATTGATCCCACACTGGGGAAATTCACTGAAAAAAGAGCCTAGTAAAACACAACCATCCTCGGCCCCTGCAGTCCAGCTGATGAGCACTTGTTTACTCTACCTTGGTTATCTCTCAGGGTGAAGTTGGGGTTGTTGGCGGCCTCTGGAGCCAAGCTGTAGTAGAAGTGTTGTCCACCCAGCGGCTCGTCTGGATCCACCGCCGTCACCGTCTGGATGAGCTGGATCACATCAAAAGACACAGAGTTACATCCCAGAGGAAGGACGGAAGGTTCTTATTTGGTTGTGCTCATGCATGCAATATAATGTGTAACATTAATATCTGATTGCTGTCTTGGTATCACAGCAGCTGCAGCTCCCATGAGGCTTCATTCTCATTACATAAAGACTTTTCTTGTATATTTAGTTTGTTCTCAAAACTTCAGATTTGATGTTTTTCCTCCAACAGTGTTAGCATAAATGCAGTTCAAAGTGCAGTTTTATCAAGTAGAGTACACAAGTAAAGGTACTGAATGGCCTTCACTGTGCTTCAGGGTGGATTATTACTGATTCATTAATGTGTAGGCTGCGTTTTAATGTTATAGGTGTAAGACTGAGGTCATTTTAATTGCTTTATATACTGTTGGGATCTTAGTTTGTAACATATTTTTAAGAAAGAAAGTCGTAGCTTTAGCACTCAAATAACTGTAGTGGACAAAAAATTCGGTATTTTCCTCTGGAGTTTGGTGGAGTAAAAATATAAAGCTGTGTAAAAGTGCATCAAATTTTGTATTTAAGTACACTGTAGCACTATTATTTACACCACTTCTGAACTATATTTTCCTCCATGCTGTGATGTCTAATGTTGTCACGTCAGATGTTTGGTGTCTCCGTACCTGCCCAGCTTTGGCGTTTTCACACACATAAGCCTCCAGGTAGTGTGTCAGCGAGGGAGGATTATCGTTCACATCCAGGATCCTCACAGCCACCGACACACTCGCGATCTGTGTGGGGTTATCTGCAGGAACACACCCAAACATTCAGAAGATGCACACATTGGTCAGGAGCTGTAAGATGCACTGATGGACTCAGATAAATGACTCTTCGAGGATCCCGCTGAGCTCAGTTTGTGCCTCTCTTTATCTTCCCATCATTTACAGCAAGCCTGCGGCACATTAGAGCTCCTCGTGCTCAGATTACAATTCTATTATTCTCCATTACCAGTCAGAAATTTGCATATCTTAACCAGCTGTGTAATAGGCACTAGAAACGCAATTAGTGGGTAGTAACTACTTTCTCAGGTTTCATCACATGATCGATCAATCAAAGGTGTGACTTTGGCTCTGGAGGTCAAGGCTCCCTGCGGCCTTGTGTTACTCTGTAAATGTGTGTTTGAGGGGCAGAAAGAAGTACTTAAATCTCCAGCTAGAGTGAACGAGCTGTAACTTTGCTGACGTTTCACCTCGGTGAAGTGAAGTCAGCGGTGTGAGAATCTATGCGAGTTAAATTACAGGACGAAGCAGCTCAGTTCAAAATGTGGATATTGATTAAGTTGCTTTAAACAAATGAGAGTTTGGTTCCACCGAAGGATGAGAGAAGAGAGTTTTAAACAGGATTATTTAATAAAAGAAAGAAGAAATTTAAATGTTATTCGTAACACCTGAGCTTTCCTACTGTGCCAAAATGTCTGCTATGAAGCAATGACAATTTTCTTAATTTCTTCATATTGTAAAGTAAAAGTAAAAAAAAGTTACTTCAGCAAATCAAATCATATTTTGTTCCAGCTAATTTTCTGCCTCCACACCGTTTCTGTCACTGCCCTCTCGCCCTCGCAGTCTCCGTCACACCTGTAATTATCCACCATGCGAAAAAGTTATTCAATTAGTCATTAATTCAATTACCACCTCCTTTTAAGTGTGTCTACCAAGCAAAGAGACAAACAAAGCAAAGGGAGGGGGATGAAGGTGACTTTCGGTGCCACCAGCTGTGTGCAGATCTGCAGGGCATCTCCTGCTCTACATTACGCAACTCTGCAGGAGTTGTTTTCCAAAATCACTGCTTCTCTATTTGTGCAAATATATTCACCCATCTGTTTTTTTCTGGGCTTTTTGTCACCATGAATCCCCTTCTCATCAAGTCAAGTTTGCCTGTAACCTTAAAGCCTAACTCAAATTAAAAATACTTTCTGTTAAGGAATCAGTGTATATAATTGAGTCGAGTTTAATCAATAGCACCACCTAGTGGGAATCAGGACTAATAAAATAAATCTAGCTTCCATTTACCGAGTTGTCCTAGCTTGCTAGCCTCTAATTTCTAAGTGGAATTCAAACTCAACAGCACCATGGGTTGTACAAAATGTCTAATGTTGTAAAGGGAAAAGTTGTCTGTAATATTATATAAATGATGCAAAACAAACGATATGCCAACTTATAAGTTCACCACAGATGTTGAACATGCGTCTCTTTCTGCAAATATGTTAAACACAGAAGAATAAGCACAATGGCTGCAGAATCATTTGAGTTTACTGCATATTATTGCACAAAAAGAGAGCAGAATAAAAATGTCAGCTATTTTTTAAAGCCAGTGTAGAAACGTTTTCCTAAAATCAAGCTTAGTTTTGTTATTTTAGTGTAACGAGGTGCCATCTTATTCCTGGTTTCAGTACAGACACAGGCTCCTATTTCTATCTATCTATGATTACTACAAACAGATTGAAATATTTTTATCGTCCTGGCATGAAAGAGGGAAAAATATAATTTTCAGGACTCAATTATAGACAGAAATTACTTAATAAGGTGGAGATTTGGCGTGAGAGAGCCTCTGTGTGTGTGTGTGTGTGTGTGTGTGTGTGTGAAACGTACTCATTTCCATGGCGAGGACAGTGATGTTGTGCCAGCCAATCTCCTCTCGGTCCAGTGAACGCAACGTCATCAGTGACCCGGAAGTGATTTCGATGTAGAAGTACTTCTCGGGGTCACTGGACCTCTCGATGGAATACCTGGAGACACAAAATGACATGTGCCATGTGAAGCATCTGAATTGCACCTTTTGTGTGTTTTTCGGTAGCTTGTAATCCTATCGGGGGGGGGGGCGCCATGTGCAGCATGTATGTATCTGTGCGATAAGGCGTCAGACTGGCAGCTTCTGAAGGCACAATAAGAAGAAGAGGCTCCAGATAAGGCTTAATCAGAGTATCTGCCTCCTCTGCCAACCAAACTGACGCCAGGGATACACAGACCTGCAGCGTGCCACCTCGCCTCTTCTCCTGCCACCGCCGGCCGCTTTCCAAAACACTCTTCTGAGAGCGACATGCAACACACACACACAGAAGAGGAGGATGTAGAGCGCATCCTCTTCCAGGCTGTGGAGCAGAAGCCTATTTATGTAACCATGAGGTATCCTGTGTTCACACATGGACTGAATTCAACTGTAGTAGCTTCACTCTGCTCTCACCTGGAAGAAGTGACTGTGTTTTTATGTTTGTCTGCATCAGAACAAATCACTTCCAAGAGAGGTAAAGGATGAATTGATTAGAGAATAATCAATCTGATTTATTGTTTAAAGTCATCTACCAAACAAAAGTGCCAATCATCCCGAGAGATTTTTCTTTTGCATATCTTTGAAATTGGGATTTGTTTTACAGAACAACACCTGACTCGATGTAATGGACAGTTGAGCAAATCAAGTTCTTTAACTCCTTAACTTTGGTCTTTGGGGACTTGCAATTGGCATCTATTAACAGATAATCAGCATTAATGGCAATAAGTGTAGATTAAGTTAGCACCACTTGCAATTTAAAGCTCACACAGCTGACACCTATATTTATTACAATATCTAATATTAGGCAGAAGTTGTGCTAATTCAGTCTTTTGTGCAACAGATGTGTAGACTTAAACAGCATTAAAAGCATCACAAAACACTAAAACTCACCATTCAAAACCAATAATCTCTAATTTTTTAATATTTAGAAGGGACCTGATAAGATTTTAATTGAAGGGAAAGTCTGGAACAAACTCAATTCCCTTTAAACGACTAATTAACATAAAAATAACCATTAATTGTTGAATAAAAGACTGGAATTGGCACACAGATATATTAAAGTCACTGTAGCAGTAGTGTGTGTGTGTATGTGTGTGTTCCTGTCCCTAGGGTTGTTTGCAGTGTGTGTTTCGGACTGTGTGCTGATAGGGAAGAGTCGTGACTGGCAAGGATCTCCCTGAAGGATCTCTATTAATATCACTCCTCCACTGTCATGAGGAGGGGCCACTGTGTGTGTTTGTGTGTGTGAATGTGTCAAATAGCAGGTGAAAAAGTGTGTGCGTGTGTGTGTGTGGGCCACATGCTTGTGTGGGTTCAGATGTATCTGCCAGTCATGCTGCTGTCGGTAAAGGACAGAAAGATGTAAAATGGAAATGAGACAAACAGGCAGACTGAAGGTCACCTGCTGCTTGTTATCTGTCATCTGATGTTGTTGTTGCTGCTGCAGTATCTGGCCTCAGCTCTTCACTGTCACCCTCAACTGATTCCTTTAGCTATCTGCTACTTGTGCTGTAACTCTCCTCGTGCTCCAAACCGGCTTTTTTGAAAATCTCTCACTGATTCGTTGCCAGGATCAAGCGCCAGCTCTGGGGATTCAGATTGGAGCTTTAACTGCATCAGCGGCTGACTGCTCTCATTCCCTCTTCAGGAACTAGAGAGTTGTTGAGGTTAATTGTCATCAGCGGAGCTCCTCAAGCATCAAGGAATTTAGAGCAGTGGTTCCCAACATGGAAAAACTGTCAGTTTTTATGAAATTTCAATTTAAAAATTAAAAGAGAACTTTTTTATTACTTTCACCTTTGTGTTTGTCTTACTGTATATTTGACAGCGCTGCAGTCAAGACCACCATTGACAAGTCCAAGAACAAGACTAGTTGAGACAAAGCCAAAACCGAGTCCAAAGAGGTTTGAGTCCAAATGCGAGACATTGCCAATGAGATGAGTTTTGGCCGCCTGATAACCGTGGTTACCGGCCAATGTCAATGCCCGCTCTAGATGGATTTCTAATTGAACCAATTTTCTGAACTTCATCAAAGGTTTTGTTTTGAAGGAGGACTCGGTTGAGACCAACTAGGATATCTGGCAAGGCCAATGGCCAAGTCCAAGACAAGTTCGTGGAAAAAGAAAAAGTCCAGATTACAGCACTGATATTTGATTCTATATAAATATACTAAAAGGTTTTGGAATAGAAACTTTAAAACAATGAAAGTGTGAGTCCACAGCTATGTCAGCAGTGTGAAACTGGATCATATTTTATGTAGAAAATATTTCCTAGTTTTCCCTCTTAGTCCTCCAGCTGCTTCGCCTCAACTGTTATTTACAGCTTTATAGCTTTACTTGTTGCTAAAGTAAGTTATCTTCTAACTGCTGCTAACTTTTCCTTAGCTGCTGTCAGCTAGTTAGCTCGGTTTGCCGTACTGGGGGGCTCATCAGAATACCTGGGGAGTGTTGGTCTTTACACCTCTAGTACATGAGCCTCTTGAGGCTGGGAGGAATGATGACAAGTGGAGCTAAAATGGGCACCAGAACCGGAGCCGGACAACATAACTGGGCTCAGCAGCCTCAGATGGCAGAGGCAAAGAGACCAAGGAAGATAAGAAGTGAATAAGAGAGAGTGAGAGCAAGAGGCCATCAGGAGAGTGAGGGCGAGAGCTTCATGTAATAGACGGCGAGCTGGCCTTCTTGCTGTTGGACTAGTAAGTAACATCAGCTGGCTTGCTATGTCTTGTGTTATTGCACTTGCTGCACTTGGCTGTGTTAGCAAAACTGTCGACAGAGTAAGTAATGGAATCATAACAAATGCACGGATACAACTGTTCATATTCATGCACTCTGAAACAGGGGCGCCAAATCACAAAAAACACAAATGTTGCTTTAAGTGTAAGTGTTTGCTCTTACAAAATGTCCACCATGGAACAAAAAGTATGGCGTCAATAGCACATAAACCACTTTTGTGCAAAAAAATGCTTTTAGAAGAGTGTGTGACACTTTACCTGACAGGGAAGGTGACAGTGATGAGGATTTATAAGTGCAACGTATGAATGAAGAAGGAATTTCAGATGCAGAGCTCGAGATAAACTGCTGAGTGTCCGTGCAGACAGTGCAGCACACGCACACACAAGCAACAACCATGTCCTTTACATCCATTTCCTGTGCCACTACTTTTAGCCCTAATCGAGGTTGTAAAAAGGACAGCTGGGACCGGGTACAGCCGGTGCCATGTGAAACACTCATTTACTGCCGCAGTCATTGATTCCTTCATATGATTAATAGCCTAATTAAAGGCTTTATGTCTAATTAGTTTATGAGAGGTGCAGTCTGGACAGTAAACCCAGCACGCAACATCTGTTCTGTTAGAGCACAAAACATACAATCCAGTAATTGAGAGAAGAGAAAGTCTTCAGCTTCTGGGTGCTGACTAATTGCTGGATGTTGAGACCTGTCAGAGTTGGTATTAACATTATTATCTTTGTCCTCCTCATCCTCGTCTTCATCAGTATCAGCTGTCCCACGATGGACCCCTTGAAACACACACTGAGCCTGAGAGTAGCCTGCTAAGAGGGGTCATGTTGTGCTGCTGCCTCCTGCTGGTGATCATGTAACATTACATCTATAGAGCCAGAAAACACTGCCTGCCAGCTTATAGTAAATTAATATAAATTCAGCTAAATGTAATGTTCTAATTCATTCGCTTTACTTACATATACTTTATCGGCATCACAGCCTTTCCCAGCATGCACTGGGAGAAATACCCACTCTCATAAAGTTAGGTACTTATACTCCCACCTGACTTTTATGTGTTTTCATGAATGCATTATGTTATTGGCACTCATTTTATTTGGATATTGATGAGACATATTCTGAAATTAGCTGTTATCATAATAAAACTTAATGACAGCAGCGAACAGCAGCCAATTTATTTTTATTGTTACTGGCATTTTTAATTGAACTAGTTGTCAAATCCATATGATCCTTTCCACGAGGGCCATATTTCCTTTGTTTGTCACCTTGATTTAATTTTCCTACAAATTACAGGTGCAGCAGCTTATGAAGGCAACACTGTTGGGCAGCCAGCTCTTATACCTGAGACTTCAGACCCTCTCAGCTTCACTTGTATCCGCCATGTTTCTCTTGCATTTCAAAAGTAACATGTATTTACTGTGATGGTTTACCTGGATAAAGTAAGGGTAAGGTAGGTTGAAAACAAGGAGCAAAGCTAGATAAACCACATGAAGTGTTGTTTCACTGTTTTCCTCACCTCACAGTGTTGTTGGCAGCATCGGGATCCCTCGCTGACACCGTCTTCAACACAGTCCCGATCTCAGCGTCCTCTGGCAGCTCGATGTAGTACGCTGGTGAGTCAAACAGCGGGGGCTCGTCCACGTCCTCCACGCTCACGTGCACGATGGTGACGTCCTTGAAGGGCCCGCGGTGGCGTAGGGAAGGGTCCAGGTGGGTGTTGGCGCCCTCCACCTTCAGAGTATAGCTGGGCTTGGTCTCAAAGTCCAGTGGCTGTAGGATGAACCCACATAAAGACATTACAAAGATGAAACCTTGCTGTCTTTGGCTGCAATTAAGTTATGCTCTTTGCATTCTGCTATTATTCCTTCAAGAAACACTTGAATTTGTGCCAGTTTGATGTCAAAGAAAGAATCTCCTGCAGAACTTAACATGCATTGAAGTACATGCCAGGACAATCTGATGAAGGATGCTAGGAAACAGCAAAAAGGTGAAGAGATTAAGAGATTTCTTCAAAAAAGTGAAACGAATTTACAAAAAAACAAAACACTAAGAAACAAGAATGGGTTGTAGACAGCAAGTGTATGTTATGTCATGTTTGTCCCTCTTAAGATAAAATTAAATTGCAACATTTCTGAAGGGAGTTTTGTTCCTCTATGACAAAGAAGCCCTTTGAGGTTCATATGAGGGTTGTAAACAAATAAATACAAAAAAACCCTTAATGAAATGTATTATAAAACATCTTTACAGCCTCAAAGTGAGATAAATGCATGAACAATATATATAACTTATATTTATTAACTGTGACACAGACAAACATAGATTTATATTTTCTTCATCAGTCTGCTTGTGTACCTTTTTCACACAGATGATGCCAAAAAGGTTGGTGGGGTCAGTGCTGATGTCAAATGTGTCCCTTCCATCTCCATCGATGATGCTGTACTTCATCTCAGCGTTGAACCCGATGTCCCTGTCCTTCGCCCAGATCCGACCCACCACTGAACCCACAGGAGCCGACTCTGGGACACTCATCTGATACAGCCCTGAGGAAGCAAATTAACAGAGTGATCATCCTGTCACCTTTTCCCATCTGTTTTTCTTTTTTTAATCCTCTAGAGGGAGCCAAACGTCTTCCATCACCTCTATGACGCCTCTCTTCTCTCAAAATCACATCCCAGACAGCTTAAAATAAATGGCTCCATAAACGCCTCACAATTGGGTTATATACTGTCTCGTGGGCCAGCTTCAATTTCATCTACCGTTTAACCTCAAAGAAGAGGTGACAGCTGCCCAATTTGTGGCACTCCCTGCAGTCCAAAGTGAAATGCCTGCACATTGTGCTTGACAGAGGGGAATCCCTGAAGCTCTTCACAACCGATCAAAGTTCTATCGAAGTGATGGCGCTAATTGGGGGACTAGTGATGGAAGTGGAAATGGGCGGGTGTTTTTCTTTGTCTAGGAGCGAAGCCACCCGTCGGGCAGGAAGAGATGACCGTGGACAGCTAGACAACCCCTGACCTCCGGGAGACGGTAATGAGAGGAGCAGAAATGGGGATAATCAAAGAGACAGCACGGGGCGACTGGTGTCCGAGGGAGGAGGCCAGGGGGTAAATGACCAGGGACTGGTGGCCAAAAGTGGACAGACGGAGGGGCTAACAGCTTGCATGCTCCAGAGAAATGAGGTGGATAGATGTAGAGCAACCCACAGAAAACAGTAAACTACCGTGGTGTGTGTGTGTGTGTCACTTTGAATATAAGAGTTCACATGTGGTTTACAGATGCTGCAGGCCCATGTTTTAATGCATGTGCCACACTGCTGCCCCACATGCAGCTCAAACACACAACCACAAGTCAAGTATCAATCCTGGAACCAAACAACGCGTTGTTTTTTAAATTTGAGTGAACTTCAGGGTCATCTTTGACTCTGTGATGTGTTTCAGCCGCAAATGTGAGCGTGTAGGGCTCAGTACGGAACAGGATTCACGACACACTCATTATAATTGAGGGTTCCTAATTAAGGGAAGGGAAAACATTTTTTAACAGTGTCCAAATAAAATGAAATGAAATCCTTGGGTGCAAAAAGAGCATTTCTTCCCCATAGGTTTTGGTGTAAAATGCAAATAAAAGGATCCCTTACATAAAAATAAGAGTTTGGTACTGTTGGTCGGACAAAACAAGACTGATTAACATTAGGAAAGAAAGAAAATGAATCAATAATGAAAATAATACTTAAGTTGGCACGCCGCTCATGCAATCATAATTTTGTCACATTTAGTTGACGTTGAGATCCATTTTTCAGCTCCATGATGCGTTTAGTATGCGTTTTATATCATACCATAATATAGCCTTCCACCTCTGGCTGCACTGTTACTCTACAGCTGAGAGAAACTGTCCATAACTTTTAAAATTTTACTACTTTTTTTTAGCTGTAAGATTATCAGGAGGGATCCGAGAAAGAAAGGTGATGTGGGTTCAGGTCGAGCAGGGAGGAAAGTGAATCAGGAAAGAAAGTAAAATGTGAGAATAATAAGACAGAAAGGAGGAACTGTTGTCCATCTCTTACTCTGGTCAAACATGGGCGGGTTGTCATTGATGTCACTGAGCGTGATGTTGACAGTGGTGGTACCAGCGAGCCCCCCCAGTTGGCCACCCATGTCCTTGGCCTGGATGACCACAGTGTAGTTTTCTCTTGTCTCCCGGTCCATATCTGCCAGGGACACGCGGACCACGCCTGAGGGGGGAAACCAAGACACACAGAAAAGGAGAGAGAGTGTAAGAGAGGGCGAAGAAAGATACACGAGGTGAATTAAAGGTTAGCAACAGAGAGCTGGTGACACAGATTAGGGTCATGTGTCCACGCGATGGTGTCCTGGAATGTCAGCGCTCTCAATGAGACGGACAAGAGGCTGCATGAGTGAATTATAATTAAACTTGTCATTCATTTAAAGCCTCTGGTTTAAACACAACTTCATTATTGGGCTGCAGTAAAGAAAGGCATTGTGTCATTCTCTGCCTGCAAGAAGTGTCATATGGACAGTCAGCTGCATTAACTAATTTCATGTTTTTCATCTCTAGCCACTTTTGTCCAAATAAATACTTTTTTTGCATGACATACAATCACTGGGAGTTACTACAGCAGTTATCTGGTCCAAGGACACTTCAACATGTGGACAAGAGGAGCTAAGAATCAAACCTCCAATCCTATAATTAATGTTCAACTTACTCTACCACCAGAGTTAGAGGCAATCTCCTTTTTTCAGGGTAAGAGCTCTGAGAATTCCTGGTTAAAATAGTAGACTTTATTTATGTGTGATTGAGTAAGGATGGTTTTGTGTATGCGTGAGACACACAGGAGATAAAATATTACTGTGACAGCAGTGAGGCAGCATGAAAGGATAAATCTACACTTGATGTGGCACACGCTTCCATCCACAATGAATAAATCCAAACTTTGACTAAAACTGAAACTGACTATAAACTGACGGATAGTAGGCAAAATTGGTATAATTCAGACACAGCTGAACTGTACGAAAAAACAACGGTGCACTAACCCGGCTACTGCAGTGCATGTAACGTACTAAACCTTCAAGGTCTTCCTGCTTTCAGTTCACTTTCCTTGTTGTCTGGATGGCATCTAGACACTACTATCAACAGTGCATTACCGCATTACCAAAGACATCCATACATAGGCAGTTTGCCAGATGCAGCAGAATCCAACCAAGGTCAAGGGATGTTTTGTGCTGAAGAGTAAGAAAAGGAGTGAATGTAACAGTGCTCTGAGCTATATGTGTTAAAGTTATACACCGTGTTCCCTCCAATAAAAGCCTCAGTGCTGCGCTTATAGCCCAGTCAGGGAGGCTGATTGATAGCTGTAGAGCCACTCTTGTGTTTCAGTGATGGATGAACCTACAGCAGCAGCAGTCTGAGAGGCTGCTGATGGGCAGCGCAGCCTGAGAGGTTTGGCAACAGATTTCTGTGCTGACAAACAAGGAAATGAGGCAGCTGTGGTAAACAATGGCCAGTGACTCTTTGCTTTTAGGAGACTAATGGATTTTTGGAAGTGGTAGCTGCATTTATGAATGATTGTATGTGCTGCAATGTTGCAATTAGACGTTAATTGTCAAGGAGTTTTAGCCCCTCTATTTACAAGTGTTATATACTATTATGCTACCATCTTGCTTAATTTTTTGATATATTACACTAAAAGCCCACAAGTATGGGGGCACATTTGGAAGCCACGGACATTAATCAGCTACTATAACAGCCTCCACCCTTCTGGTTTCAGTCTTTCCACCAGATGTTGGACTCCCTGGCTGCAGGGATTTGCTCCCATTCAGTCACAAGATTATGAGTGAGGTCCAACACAGATGTTGTCGCTGTAACATCAACATTTCCTTTCATTGAACTAAGGATGCCAAGCCAGGATAAACAGTACCAGAAGAACACGTGTCCACATACTTTTCATGATAATTATCATCATGTGGTAATGCAGACTGATTTTAAACCAAAGTGTGGATTGGTTTAAAAAGGCTGCTCTGCAATTTCTCAAATGTATCAGTTATGTCCTTCGTCATAGATACAAAGTCATCTTTTGTTGGCTTCTTTGTGTATAATTGCAAAACTAATTGTTTCTTATACTCAGAGTTATTTTGTATTTTATTTCCCTGAATAAATAACGATTTCCGTTATTAAATTATGTCTTTAAAGAACAAGACACAAATTCACTGAAAGAGTTAAATGAGAGGATTGATACCATTCTCATGTACGTGCATTAAGTATGGCGCTAGAGATGGGAGGTGATTAGCTTAGCTTAGCATAGCATGAAGACTGGAAATAGCCAGCTTGGCTTTTTATCTATAGTTAAAAACCATTATTTCTGTCCTATTTCTTTTTGTCATAGTGAGCTTCAGAACTGATTGTAGATGTAGTTTTTAACTTTGCTAAGCTAAGCTGATTTCCTCCTGGCTCCAGCTCAGTACTTAATGCAGAGACATGAAAGTGATATCAATCGTCCCGTCTAACTCTAACTCTAATAAGCTGAATGCTATATTGATATAGTAAACATCACAACAGCCTTGTTTGCCAAATGATTGGCAGTGTATTTGGTTTGTAGTAGACTGAACTAACACATACAAACTCGTTGTCATGGTCCTTTAATGACAATAGATAAACCTGTGAGACAGTTTCCGGAACCACTCGATCACTTCCCCACGAGGGGCTGCCTGTCTTATGCTGTCCTCCTTTTTAACAGAGAAGTCACACTTTGTGCTTAGCACATCTTTTTTGTCGAGTGCGAGGAGTTTGAGATGCTGCAAGTTGTTACAAAAGAGTGCCGTGTTTCAGACAAGTCTCATAGCAACCACAGGAGCCATGCTGAGCTTCCCACATTCAGAGCTGGTTGGTATACACAGGGGCTTAAAGTGTGGACTGCTAAAATCAGACTGTGGTGCAATTACAGTGCGGTACAGTGTTAGAAACAAGGTGGGGAATTAACAGTAGCTGCCAGCCGAGGATGTTAGTAAATCCTGGCTGTCAGTGGTAGTTTGTAGACTTTTATCAGGTCATCTAACATCATTCTTACTTATAAAACATTCATATGGAGCTCATAAAATAGTTAAAGTGACTGGTGAAGTTTGAAATCCATCAGACTCTTTATGTAATGGATAAAAATGCTGGTTTCCCGAGTTACAGGTTGAGTGTTTTAGAGGGAGTTTAGCAGCATGTGTGCAGTCATACCAGTTTTGGCGTCCACTGAGAAGTAAGGCTGGCCTTCCAGGATGCTGTAGACCACACGAGCACTGTTGCCATACGTGGGGTCGTCGGCATCTGTGGCCGTCAGCTGGATCACAGATGTTCCTGGGTAAACACGGGGGCAAATGTGAGGAGGAATAGACAGAATTAGAGGAAAAGGAAGAGGTGGATGAGAAAGAAACATAATCTACACCAATATCATCATATAAATCAAATAAATAATTTTAGTTGGAGTTTTTTATTCTGTGGCTGGAGCGGCTCCAGGAATTAACTATGCTTATTTACTTCAAAGTAACCACAAAAGTGGGTTTATGAATAGTGAATGAAGCAGATGGAGACGAGCCTGTAGGAACAAACGATGACTCTGCCGGGCCATTATGTACTTTGCTATGCAGCCGCTCCCTCAAAAACAAACACCTCAAACATGCACAGGCAACAGTTTAGTTTCTGTCTCCATCCATCTGTCTGCCTTCATCTCCCCACGCTCACCTATTTTAGACATTTCGGGTACAGACGCCTGGTACGGCCCGTCCAGAAACCTCGGCTCGTTGTCGTTGATGTCTTGGATCTTGACGATGAACTCGGACTCAGGCTCCAGAGGTCTGTCCGTCAGGCGGTTCCGGGCCTGGGCACGGAGGATGTACTGGGCCTTCACCTCCCGGTCCAGCCTCTGGATGGCGTGGATGTCCCCCGTGCTGTCGTCGATGGTGAAGGTGGTGCCCGCGCCCTCGCCCGTCAGGATGTACTTAATGGAGCCGTCGCCTTTATCCATGTCTGAGTGGAGCTGTTTACAGAGATGTTTGTAAGGAATTATTCCAGAATATAAAAAGAAAAGATCCACTTTTTAGTGTTCAAATCTGTGCCCAATCTGCCAGCGCTTGGTCAAAAAAAGACGATAACTTTCAAAAATCATGACAACATATACCAGACAACAAGTTTACCAGTGCTTACAAGTTGAACAAACATGAAAATAACAGACATATGGTGCAGCAACATGTTTTTGAGGACATTTAATTGGGTCACATCCGCCAATTTTAGAACAATGCAGCAGCACAGTGATCCTAAACATACAGCCGAGACGATCAAAAGAACTTTTTGGGGTCAAACAGTGGAAAGTTCTTGATCTAAATCCAACTGAAAATGTGCTAGTGAGGTAGGCTGAGGTTCAGGCCAGGCAGAGCAAGTGTGTGCTGAAAGAAATTAGCTACAATCCTGAGCGATTAATGATTTAAGTTATTTATTAACAAAAGCAATCTTTGGTTGCAGCATCTTAAATGTTATATCATTGTACAATGAATATCTTTAAACCAGTGGATAAATTAACTCCAGACCTCCATGGGTGATCTGTGGTTGTATGTGTACCTTAATACTGTAGCTGTTAGTACATCTAATCACTGCTTACAGCCTGATTGTTGCCAAAGGCCCTGCAGTGCAATCAGAAGCCTTTTGTGGCCTGTAAGTGCAAATGCCAGCCTGTTGATGTGCAATCACTCCTTTGTACTTAGAGGGTCTCTGTGTATGATGAGTACTGCCATCACACTGACAGAGCGGAATTAAATGCCCCCATTGACGCCTGTGTCATATATAATCAACACACAGCGAGTGCACAACACAGCACTGACAAAAATCACCCCACTGACTCTCAACGCACACTCTTTTCATACACTTTGGCCTTTTCCTCGTCTGGCGCTGCTAAGTGAAATGACCACGCTGAGGTTGGTGAACTCCTAAAAGTTTGCAGCTACAGCACTCATTGTTGTTATTCCGGTGATAGTTCAGCAGCAATCTTCACAATACCTATCATTCCCCCGAGCAGCAGACAATACAGCTTTTCCTATCTCTTCGGACAACGGGCCCACCTGCTCTCTCTCCTGCAAAGCGCCGTGCAGCCCAGCTCGGCCCAGAATATATTTTCTAATCAACACCCCATTGTGAACTTCAGCCCGTGTCTCATGGTGATATATCTCAGGCCGGTGCCTTCCCTTCGCCTTATCCGCCTTCTCTTGCTCTGATCCTTCCTTTCCACCCAAACCTATGAAAAGAGGGAGTTTGACACTCTATCAATTACCTGTTCGGTCTCAGCCCCAGCCCAAAGTCCAAACCTCCGACATCCCTGCGGCTCTGAATTCTAAGAATGCTAAGCTGAGGGGGAAAAAATCCTTGGGGGTGGGGGGACAGGCTACAGTACATGTTTCTCCTGCTTTTTCATATCCTACAATGCCTCTCTGCCTTGAGTGGCTCTCTGGGTAGTAGCCAGGCTTGTCAGAATCACTTATTTCATTCAGCTTGGAAAAATTAGGGTGGGCGGCTTGAAAAGAATCAGTGAAGAAACACTAAATGGGAAAGAAGAAGAGGTAAGATGGAAGTGAATGTGGTGCAGCGACTGTAAGGAATATTTCATACTACATAAGTAGACACAGTAATTTTAGTTTTCTACAGCACTGGTGGCACTCTCTAAGGACTTGTTACTTGTCTTTCTGGTCGGAGCACGTGACTTTCCGGATTCCAGCATTTGCCTCGGTATTCCCGAGCGGTGGCTGGGAAATTATTCCAGAACAGTAATTAGGCACGTTTGCATCTTTTCTGAAGAGGAATTTCAGAGGATGAGAGGTTAGTAACGCAGTGTTTTTAAAGTTGGCAACGGAAAACTCAATCAAAGGTTTGGAATGAGCGTTTTAAAATCAGGGCAGCATATTTTGGTGTTTTAATGTCACGACGTGGGCCCCAAGAGATCTTACATCCATGTTCTGACAGAATGCTCTGCAGGAATCACTCAGTTTAGTTAAGGGGCGAGTGAATTCCCTACTTACATGCATTTATAATTGAGTTTTTGAGCCAGGACTGTCCACAGTTGTCAAATGGGCCCATTAGTAAGGTTTTAGGGGGGGAAAGGGGGACAGTAGGCACTACAGTTATATAGCGAGTAAACCATTATCTGTATCTGTATCTAATCAACCAACTAAATGATCTGTGCGGTTCCTTAACCAGAAATTAGTCCTGATATTAATATGGGTTGATCAGAAGCTGCTATATGTATTAGAAAAAGATTTGCACAACAGCAGCAGAATTGAGCTTTTACTTGTAAAAAGTACAAATCTGTACTGTTTGGTGCTACAAAATGTTAGACATATTATATTATGTATCTAATGTTAAATTCAATTAGACTTTCTGTTAGGTGATTAAAATACTGATTTGGACTGAGTGAGGGATTATCAGTCTGTTGGTATTGTCAGTCAGTAACTAGCTAAAGCGTATTGGTAAGTAACAGGCAAATGCTACATAACTACACAGTACAGACTATTTTGTGGTTTTCTAATCCTCACTTTGGTTTTATGCCATAATGGCATGTCTTTCCATAACAAAAAACATCCTATGCTATGTGTACAGACACTGGATTGCGATGTATGTTTACCCAATAACAGTTTAATCTATAATTAGATAACTCACAAAGCTAAACAAGAGAAGCCTGCTCGTAGCATTCATTGTATTATTTGTCGCAAAGATTTCAAAGTGACGTGATATTTTATGTTTCAAGTGGGTCATTTTTGCAGTGACATACACTGGCACAAACACCTACAAATGACTCAAAAAGATTCCCCAGAACCCACTTTTTGGGGGATGTAATGGCAATTTTCATTCGAGTTTGCAAGATTGTTGTGTCTCTCTGCTGATGATGACTGGCCTTACAACTATTGATCAAATGTTCAATTCACTTTAGCGACTGAGCGATCAAAGTGCTCCTTTGTGAGCATCCCTCTCCTGCTCTTTTTAGTGCATGTCGGTTGTGTTGCAGACGCGCCATCCACTTCTGTGGAAAAGGGCCGACTGAGTGAAGACTCAGTTCGAGTCAATTAACTCAATCACTGCTGTCTGGCTCTGGTTCAAAGTGGACAGAAGAGAGGCTGTCTTAGTATGGACGCGGTGCATCCAGGGATTAAATTGGGATTTTTCTCCTTTGCAGTCGTTGAGGTTTGCCTCTGCCCACCCATGATCTTCTTTTTTGCATTCATGCACTCAGCTCAGTCCAAGCAGTGGATGACCTCCAGGCTGCTGAGCTCCCCTATAAATCTGTTGCACTGTTTGAAAGTTAGGGTTGAAATACTTCTGCAGCACCTTACTGAGACACCTTACACATCAGATACGCCATGCAGAAAGGTCATGCAGAAAAGCAGCTCCCCTACCAGGCCAGAAACCTGTACACTTTGCATTTCTTCAAGTTATACCTTTGTGTGTGCACATATGTGTGTGCCTGCTCATACAGTACAGCAAGCAGTGAACACTGACCTTTCCAATATAAAGTGGTTCCAGCCCAGTGTACTCCTCCAGGACAAAGAACTGGTTCCACACCCAGCCTCTCTTCACCCTCTGGAGCAGTGCTGAGCTGCCTGCATTTTCCTCCTCCGCGGGTTTACCCAGAAGGATGTGAGGCAGAAGGGTCAAAATGCCAAGGGCCAAAGGGAGCAAGGTTCTGGCAACTGCTGGAAGATGCAACCGGTCTCCCATTGTTAAGCACAGAGTAGTATTTGAAAAGATTTTTCCTCTTTCTTCACCAGTGCCGTTGTTCCGGGTTCCTTTCTTCCTGGGTACTGTAAGAGAACAAAGAAGACACATGAGTCTCAAATTTGCGTCCTTTTGGACAACATCATACTTTTGTTGTGTATTGAGACCCAGTCTGTGTTGCACTGTGGGAGGCCTACGGATGACGCACATTCGCAGGCTTTTCTCCTGCTTCCACATTAGCCCTCCACTACTGAGTTTTAATGAGCTGTGTGTGCCTTATCAAAGCTGAATGGGGTTCTTCTCATACCGCCGATGATGTTACGTGGAACAGGAGAAGAGGTAATATGAGAGGAGAGGAAGACTGGGACAGAAGTACAAAACAAAACATTGGTGTCATCCTGCCACTCACTATTACCATACCCCCAGAGAGTTAAAATGCGAAGAACAAAAGACTGGGGACATCAAAGGTGTGCGTAACTGTAAGATCCGTAAAACGATATAGATTAGTGTTAGGTTCTGTGACTATCTCTTGATGAACAGCAGCTTGGAGCGGCGACTTTTTGGAGTCTTGTCGTCACCATGAGGTAGCCAGGAAACCACACGACATCGAGACGCAGCATAAAAGTACTGGGCGGATGGATGGATCTTTTGTTTAGTTTCACTACAACCACACAGAGTCATTTTTGATACATTGTTTTAACCAGTGAGCTTTAGGCGTTTTACAGGTATTGGATTTTTCAAAATCAGATGACAGCCACACTAACTGTTTCCTCCTGCTTCCAGTATTTTATGCTAAGCTAGGCTAATCACCTGCTTTGAGACATGAGGAGTGGTAGCTTATCAATCTTCTCATGTAACTCTCCACAAGAAAGAAAATAAGTATATTTGCCATAATGCTGATCATTTGCTTTTAATTGTGTAATCTTGTCTTGATCCCTGAATACACTCACATAAAGGCACTTTTTGCAACCTGCAGATAAAAAAGAAGATTGTGCTTCCTTCCCTCCTCCTCTTCCTGTCACGCGGAGAGGTGAGCTCCTTCACTCCTTTACACCTCCTGTAAAAGGCCCGGGGGTGTGATGTTCTGAGACTGTAGTGTTTCTGTTAACACCCCTGCTCAGCTTTACTCACACCATGTTCCACAAGTTCCCATCAGCACTGCACACCGCTCATTACAAGTGTCTATTTTTTCCATATCTCTGTGTTTGCAGGCCCCTATGGTATTGCATGGATGTTCGACTTCATGCCTCTAAATACTATCTCCCTCTGCATTTGATACGAACATCATAGGAATCTTTAAGATCAGCGAGGTCAATCCCGCGAATTTCTTGCAGGAGATGCTTTTTCAGGTTATCCATCGATTTTAGCTAATCAATACCTTTTCACATGCAGCGCATGGCACCTACGCTGCCTCTTTCCATCTGCATCTTATTTTTATGTATTAGGAGGAGGGCAGCATCTGCCCGCTTTTCCTGCATTAACGAGCTCGGGGGGAAATAGGATTTATGGTCAAAAGGCAAAGAAAAACCAGAGAGAGGGGGGAGGAAGGAAAAGAAAAGCAAGGAGGCTGTTAGCAGGGGGAGATGGAAAGTTTGGGGCCGGAAAAAAAAACAGCGGAAGAAAGAGAGACTGTTTGACTCATGGGCTGACTCCATTATGTTTTGTAAGAGAGAGTGCATTGTGCTGCTGTAGACTCTCTGAATCGCCAAACTCAGTTAATCATTGTTGAAGAGGCACAAAAGGCAGAGAAGGGTGGGGGGCGTGGCTGCATTGTCAGCGGGAGGCTGGCCCAAGTGTGTGTGTGCATGCATGCATGTGTGTGTGTGTGTTTCTGAGCCTCCTCTGTAGAGGTAAACTCTGCAAGAGCTGCTTGGCAGGATGGCTGACACTTGACCTCGCCGCTCCCCTCTATTCTGTCTATTCAAGCTGCCTGGTTGCCATTATGAAGTAAAATTAGCTCCCTGTTCTCTGCTCACAAACCCTTGGCCTCCCCTCTCAGCTCCGCCCCTAAAAGGTCACAGCTTGCACCCGAGCATTTTGCTCCATTTTGTCGTCCCTAATGAGGTGACATGCCACGCAATTGTGCTAGCAAAACATTTCACACATCTCTCTTCTGCTAATCTTATGGCATTCCACTTGTTTAAAGAAAAAGCAGCTGGTGTTTGCCGCACAAGCTGCGAATGGGGGGTAGAAGGGATGGGAAGATGAAGGGATGAAGGGATGAAGGGATGAGGAGGAAGGTGGAGGAGCAATCATATGCAAAAGCTTTGTCAGGCTTAAGGCGAAGAGGTATTTTCCCACCGGGCTGAAACATTCTTCCCTCGTCGAAAATCTGCCTTAGTATCCAAAAGAGAATAACTGAGTTAGTGAGTAACGCACTACAATTAAGCCAAAATGGCGAGACAGGTATAAGAGCATCTGATTTTTATGTTTGTTTTGACAAGCAAGAAACCCCTGAAAGGAAAGGTGTTTGTTGAGAGGGAGGATGAAATTGAGTGACAGTGGAGGAGACGGTGATTGTCACGGGGAGCAGCTGGTGTGACAAAATGATGGGCCATATTGTTGTATCATCTTACTCCAAGTCCACCTGCTGCTCCATTAACTGCAATCTGACAACAGCAGACTATATCAAACTGCTCCTACATGAGTGAGCGAGGTGAACGTTTCCTTCCAATGGAGGAAAACAAACACCTGCTACTGTATGACTGGCCGACCACCACTGGGCTGAGGCAGCATATATAATGTCGCTAACCCTACCTGTTCAGATTAATGAGTCACTAATGGCCAAATTAACAAGAAAAACATATTGCCATTGCTGTACAATAACTTATGGAAACACTCTTGGACAAATGTGTTAAAACTTTAAAGTTGGAGCAAAAATTGGATTTGATTCTTCAGATAAATCGCGTAATAATTTAGCTAATTTCAGATTTTGGTTGATTGTGTACACATAAGGTATTGAAATAAATATTGGTTTTGTAGGTGAACAAGGTATTTGTGATGAAAATTGTAAAAAAAATACTGGAAAAAAATGTCATGTACAGTGTTATCTAGGACTAAAACAGTTCGTCAGTTCCTCAAAAAATCTGTTCTTATTTTTAATTTTAAGTCATTTTCAAGCAGAAATGTCAAATATTAACCTACATGTATTTTCAGCTTCACAAACGTTACAATTTCCTGCTTTTCTTTAGTTTATGTGACATTAAACTTTTCATTTTATAGGCCAAATTATAGGTCAGGTTAACTGATTAATCATGAAAATAATCATTAGTTCCAGTTCTTATGTTATCAAAAACCTTACCCAGACCTTTTGGTCCACCAAACTCTCATTCACTGAGTGAGGTTACCAAGGGCCAACTCAGTGTGTGGTACATTAGTATGAGTTCGCCCTGTTTAAGTGCTATGTGGAGCATTATTAAGTGTTAATTTCACAGTGGCCATGTCTGTGCTCCACTCACCTCAGCTCTAAAAGGAGCCCTCCCAGACTGTGGAAAAGGTCCTTACAAACTGGGTGGACCCGTGAAAAAGGGTTCCACCCACCCTGGCGGCGCAAAACGTCACGGCCAATTTGTTAACCACAATTGATTTAGCACGGTGGAAAGGGATGTCACCGCGAAGCCTCTGCATATCTCCGACCCGGGCGAGGGGCTGCAACGATGCACTTTGACTTTTTTAAGATGCAGAAGCTCCGGCATGAGAAAGTGTCTTTCAATAAGCCGAGTACAATAAGCCGAGCGGCTGCTGTTGCGAAATGTGGAAGGGTTTTCTTAAATACAGCTGCTGAATCTAATTTCACTTCCCGGGCCGAGTGCTGAGTGTGACAAGCCACATTTCCTCTCAACGAAGCGTAGTTTTTAATTTCTAAATGCTAATGTTTATTTACTTATTTATACGTAATTAAATTCAGACTCTGCTGCGGCAGTAACTTTTAATAAGCTGGTCGCCCCCACAGTATGGCCTCTGGTATGTTTTGTATGTGTGTGTGCATAAAGAAGGAATAAAATGACCAGGTCTTCTGGTTTCTAAAAGCAAAGGGTCTATACCGTGACCGCCTGCAGCAAGGGCCCAGTTTCCTCAGCCAGCACACAGGGAGAGATGGCAGCCTTCAAAGGAAGAGCCAGGCTAAGGGAGGTGTGTATTCTGGCCAAACTCTCAAGATCATATAGTTGTTTGTGTGTGGGTATGAATATGAGCTCTCTGTGGAAGCACAGCATGCCTATGTGTGTTTGTGTGCGAGTGCTACCCTCTATTCGTCCTCATTCCTCTAACCCTGCCCCCCCCGAGGACAGAGACGCTGGCATGGGGCAGGCTTTGAACCTGCCTCTGCCGTGCTCTCTAATTGTAGGGAGCACCCCGGGCCTCGGTCTGTGCAGCTGCGTGCGCCGCCACCGCTGTGCCGTGACGAGCGTCTCCCTCCCTGCGGCTCGTTTACTGTAAGGTGTTTTTAATTACTCCCTCCCTCCGCTCTCTATCTGCCTTTGCGTGCTGAGTGAGCTTCAGAAGTTTGTTCAGCCCTCTACTCCTGTTTTTGTAATAGCATGGACCAAAAAAATTCATTTAACATCTGCTATGTCTGTTATTATATCATTCGAGCGCTTGCACTTATTTTTAGTTTTCTCTCCGATTCCTCAATCTTTTCTCTTGTTTTGGACTCGCTCCCTCTCCTCCCCATCCCTCCCCGATGCACATTTAGTTCATTCATTGCTCGGTGGAGGCCATAAAAGGAGCCTTGTCATTTATGGAGAAATTAAATCACACAAACTGGCATTCATCCCAGGCACTGGTGCATGGAAATGATGTCACCATGCATAAGCGTCATCTGGAAAAGTTTGCAATCAGTGTCACTCCACCGCAGATTAAACAGCGGTGTCTTGGGGACTGATCCTTTCAAATTAATATCGAACTCATAATCTCTTTTGAATTTGGGTTTTTTTTTTGTCTGGGAGGAGAACTTGATGTACAGTTTCCATCCACCACATGGCAGCAGTGGAGAATCCTCTCCTCTATTAGACTATTTCCTGTCCTGGAATGTCATTTAAGATACCTCAACCAAAAGCAACATCACAAAAACCCTGAGAGGTGTCGT